TCCTGCATCCCGATCCGGGTGCGTTTCCCCTCCTGCATCCCAATCCGGGTGCGTTTCCCCTCGCTGCCCCGCGATCCCGCTGCATTTCCCCTTGGTGCGTCGCGATCCGGGTGCATTTCCCCTCGGTGCACCCCCACCTAATTGCATTTCCCCATCCAGCACCCCGTTCTGGGTGCATTTCCCCTCCTGCACCCCAATCCGGCTGCATTTTGCCTCCATGCATCGCGATGCAGGTGCATGTCCCCTCGCTGCACCGTTTCCATTGCTTTTCCCCTCCGTGCACCACATTCCGGGTGCATTTCCCCTCCTGCACCCCAATCCGGCTGCATTTTGCCTCCATGCATCGCGATGCAGGTGCATGTCCCCTCGCTGCACCGTTTCCATTGCTTTTCCCCTCCGTGCACCACATTCCGGGTGCATTTCCCCTCCTGCACCCCAATCCGGCTGCATTTTGCCTCCATGCATCGCGATGCAGGTGCATGTCCCCTCGCTGCACCGTTTCCATTGCTTTTCCCCTCCGTGCACCACATTCCGGGTGCATTTCCCCTCCCGCACCCCAGTCCGGCTGCATTTCCCCTCGGTGCACCCCAACCCCATTACATTTCCCCATCCCACACCCCAATCCGGCTGCATTTCCCCTCGGTGCACCCCAACCCCATTGCATTTCCCCTCCCGCACCCCAGTCCGGCTGCATTTTGCCTCCATGCACCGCCATGCAAGTGCATGTTCCCTCGCTGCACCGTCTCCATTGCTTTTCCCCTCCGTGCACCGCGATGCAGGTGCATTTTGCCTCCTGCACCCCAATCCATGTGCATTTCCCCTTGGTGCGCCCTGGCCCCACTGCATTTCCCCTCCTGCATCCCAACCCAGCTGCATTTCCCCTCAGTGCCCCCCAACCCCATGTGCATTTCCCCTCCTGCACCCCAATCCGGCTGCATTTCCCCTCGGTGCACCCTGGCCCCATTGCATTTCCCCTCCTGCACCCCAGTCCGGCTGCATTTCCCCTCAGTGCCCCCCCACCCCACTGCATTTCCCCTCCTGTACCCCAATCCATATGCATTTCCCCTTGGTGCGCCCTGGTCCCACTGCATTTCCTCTCCTGCATCCCAATCCATGTGCATTTCCCCTCAGTGCACCCCAACCCCATTGCATTTCCCCTCCTGCATCCCAATCCATGTGCATTTCCCCTCGGTGCACCCCAGCCCCACTGCATTTCCCCACCCCAGTGCATTTCTTTTCAGGGTGCCTCAGTCCAAGCACGTTTCCCCTCTGTGCCCCCCAATCCGGGTGCATGTCACCCCTACCCCCTCCGTGCTCCAGGTGCGTTTTCCCCTTCCCTCGTGCCCCCCAGTCCCGCTGCCTTCCCCCCACACCACGCTCCCTCCTGGGTGCTGGTGCCTCTCCCCTGGCAGCACCCCAGGCTCAACCCAGCATTTTGGGTCCTCAGCCCCAGGGCGCAGCCAGGAGCTGGTGTTGCTGACGGGTGCGTTCCCTTCAGCGTGGTGCAATTCGGGAGCGGTAGCTGGGGATTTTCCCTTTTTTTCAGGAATTTTCCCTTTTCTCTGCCTCTCCCCTCTCTCCATGCACACCCAGGTTTACGCATCCATGAATATTTGTATTTCCAAGTGCTGAGCCCGGGAGACATCCGCTACATCTTCACTGCCACTCTGGCCAGGGATTTTGGTGGCGTGTTTGTAAGTATTAAGGACTGAATTTGTCTTGGGTCCTCCCAGGTTAATTATTTCTCCACAGCAGGGCCCGGTGATTTGAAGTCTTTTATGAAAATGGAGCCAATTGCTCTTCCGCGAGCTTTCCCTTAGGAAGGAGGCACGCGCTTGTCCCTGCCTTCGGCCTCAGCAGGCTTTTGGAGGGGGATTTTGGTCCCACGTGTGTTCAGGGAGCACGTGCCCCGCTCTTTCCTCCTCCAAGGGCTGAGACAGGCACGGCTACGTCCCAGGAGGAGATGCTCAGGCTCCTGCAGGGAATGGCAGAGAGAAACCAACTGTCTGCAGATGTGAGACCTTTCCCTGAATAAACCCGGGATTAATAAACTGGGATTGTTTAGCCTGGAGGAGGCTGAGGGGAGACCTTATCGCTCTCTACAGCTGCCTGACAGGAGGGTGCAGGGAGGTGGGGGTCAGTCTCTTCTCCCAAGTAACAAGCGACAGAATGAGAGGAAATGGCCTCAAGCTGTGTCAGGGGAGGTTTAGATTGGATATTGGGAGAAATTTCTTCACGCAAAGAGTGGTCAAGCATTGGAACAGGCTGCCCAGAGAGGTGGGGGAGTCCCCATCCCTGGAAGCATCCAAAAAAACATGCAGACATGGCACTTTGGGACATGGTTTAGTGGGCATGGGGGTGTTGGGTTGATGGTTGGACTGATGATCTTAGAGAGCCTTTCCAACCTTAATGATTCCCAGTTTTTACTTTCATTAAAAAATAATCCAGCCCCCAAGCCAGGAAACATGAAATGATTCCTCTGCCTTTAATTGGTTTAGTGGTGGAGTTGGTAGTGTGAGGTTAATGGTTGGACTGGATGATCTTAAAGGTCTTTTCCAACCTAAACAATTCGGTGATTCTATGATAAATCTCCCTAAAGCACACCCTGCACGGGGATGAGCAGGCACGGGACAGCGGGGACGGCCGCGGTGGGGCTGGGGACGGGAAGCAGCCCCGCTCCCGCCTCGCTCACCCCTGCCTGTCTCCCGCTCGGAGAACACAAGGTACGACCAGATCCACCTGGTCCCGGCCGATCCCCCCGAAGCTTGCGGAGAGCTGAATAATGGCGTCTTCATCCAGGACCAGATTGCCTTGGTGGAGAGGGGGTACGTCTGGCGTCACGGGAGCGGTTTTGGGGGGGGACCCTCGGGCAGGAGGGGAGCTGCCCACGGCACAGAGGGTGACAGTGCCACGGCCACATTTTACCATCACCTCCAGCTTCTTCCTGTGACGTACCCCACGTGGGTATACGAGGAAAACGTGAGGGTGCTCCTACCGCAGAGCATTTCATGTGGCATCTCTTAGCGCGGACTGTTTTCCAAGTTGGAAAAAGCCCCGGTTTGTTTTCTGTTTTCTTAGGAGAAAGTGGCAGAGTGGGCAGCCTGTGCCTAAAATGGTGGTGTTGGGTTGATGGTTGGACTTGATGATCTTAGGGGTCCTTTCTAATCTTAATGATTCCTAGCTTTTACTTTCATTAAAAATAATCCAGCCACCAAGCCAGGAAACATGAGATTGCTACTCTGCGCTTAACTGGTTGAGTGGTGGCCTTGGTAGTGTTAGGTTAATGGTTGGACTGGATGATCTTAAAGGTCTTTTCCAACCTAAACAATTCTATGATTCTAAAGTACAGCCTCAAAGAGGAGCAGGGTTTGGGGGAGGCACGGGGCCAGGGAGACAGTCCCCGGTTTGGGTGTTTCCAGGCAAGCTCTGGTTTTGTATCTGCCGAGGATCCGCCTGCGGCCACCAAAGATATGTCGCTCTCTGCCCCAGGGGTTGCTCATTCCTGTCAAAGACGCGGGTGATCCAGGAGCACGGCGGACGGGCGGTGATCATCGCAGATAATGCCTACGATAACGACAGCTTCTACATCGAGATGATCCAGGACAGCACCAGGCGGACAGCAGACATCCCCGCGCTCTTCCTGCTGGGCAGGGACGGGTAGGTGCCTTGGCCAACAGACGTCTCGTCTCCCCAGGTGCGGAATATCTCATGGGAAGGGCCAAGCGACAGCCTTGTCCCCACAAAACAGGGAGCTGCCAAGGATCAGCGTGGCCCACCTGGGCTTGGTGAAGCAGATTTTTAGCAGATTCAGTCGTAATTAATCTGCAGAGTTTCTCTTTGAGCTGCTTTTGTGGTTTACACTCACAGCTGGGCTCCACTCTCCCGACTCGGGCACGCCTGTCACCTCTTTATCTTTCCAGGTACATGATCAGGCGCTCCCTGGAGCAGCACGGGCTCCCCTGGGCTGTCATCTCCATTCCCGTCAACGTCACCAGCATCCCCACGTACGAAATGATGCAGCCCCCCTGGACCTTCTGGTAGCAGCAGGAGGCTGCGGCAGATCGAGGACTTCTCGGTGGATCCCAGGAGTTTGTCCCAGGGATCAGGTATGAGGAAAGGGTCCCAACGCGCTCCAGAGATCCCACCGCCTGGCCTCACCGGATTCAGCAACGCGGAGATCTTTCTGCTGCCGCCGGCGTGTGGCTGGAGGGCAAACGCCAGCACCTGCAGCGGGAACCTTGAGCCTGGCACCCAGCACCCTTTGTAGTGACTTTCTGGGAGGGAGGCGATGGCCCAGAGCAGGCCAGGAATTCCCCGAGAAACATCTTAACGACGCGTAAGATGCCACCAGTAATTTGTGCTGCCGATTTAGAGGGACGCAGGGTTACGTGGATGTGGTCTGTCAGGGATGGGAGGGAGAGTGAGATACAGGCTTGGACTGTACTAGCAGGGCTCGCCCAATATCTGTATATTTTTGCCTGAGCTAATGAAGTCTGAACAAGTTTTAGAGAAAGGGAGGTTTCTCTTTTTTTCCATCAACCAGGGGATGAAGGAACAAATCTCATCCCCTAATGATGTTTTCCTAGTAAACTTCCCAAGGTGCCTCCTGCAGCCAGGGCAGGGCTCACGTCAGAGCCCTGTGCAGCACGGATCAGTCATGCACCGGGGCAGAAACAGCCTCGCGGCACAGCACTGCCACCAGCGTCCGTCCCCGAGGGTGGGCTGGTGGCAGAACCAGAGCCCAGACCTCAGGGGGCATCTGTTCCCTCATCCCCAGACCTCCACATCTCTAACTGGGACCAGCCCCTGGATCGTAGCGCTCGTTTCTGCGCTCACCACCCTCCGGTTTACCAGTACAAACGACACGGCCCCGCTTCTCACCAGTCCCAGTTTATTACGAACACTGAAAGGGACACGGCCCCGGGACGACTGGGGACAAGCAGTGAGGTGCAGGTGATGGTAGTGTCAGAAGTGCCCATCTACAGCGTCACCCTCGGTCCCGCAATCCCGCTGCCGCAAGGCTCGAAGGAAGCGGCAGCAGGAAAACAGCTCCCCAAAATCTAAAAAGGAGAGGAAAATACCCCAGGAGCATCCCCAACCTGCTGCCTGTCCCTTGCCCGG